TGCCCATTAATAACTATTTCTTTGCTTGCTACAGTCCTTAGTGCCTCAGGAATGCAAGACCCATTTACTACTAGCATCAGGTGATCCAGGGTCCCATCCCTCATGTGACAACTGCAAGAGCTGAGGTGCCACATATGTGTACAACTTCCTTTCATAGAGATACTGGTGACTTGGTTTTATTATTGGAGTAGGTTTGAGGGAGGTGGTAGGAGAAGTATCTGCCAGCTTCCCCAGTCTTTGGAAGATTGCAGATAGTTCCCAGATGCCTGCTAAATTAGAAGCCTGGCCCTCAGGCGGTAGCCTTTAAGGTAGGCAGATAAATCCCTTTCACAGAAAGAGTAGAAGATGGGTGTTTTGGACCTGTTTCCTCTGCACTGAACCTTGGGGAAGTAGATGGTTAAGAATGGATTCTTTGTTTGCTATATTCCTCTGGGACTCATGAATGAAGCCCTGTTGGCTATCAGAGCCAGGTGATCTGGGGACCCATCCCTTGGGCAGCAACCCTAAAAGCTGGGGTGTGGTCCTTCCAGTAGCACAGCTCCTTCCAGGGAGCTACTGGCAACTTGGAATGGGCTGTAGGGAGAAGATGGGAGAGGTATCAGTGGGCTTCCTCAGTCTGTGAGGAGGGTCACAGCCCCTCAAAGCCTGATAAATTAGAAGCCTAGCCCTCAGGCAGCAGCTTTTAAAGTATGCAGATAAACCACTTTCAGGGAAAGACTGGGGGGAAGGTGCACTGAGCCCTAGGGCAATAGCTTCAGTGATTGCTCTTGCACACAGGAAGAATTGCTTCTTTGTTTGGTATAGTCTCCTGGACACAAGCCCCACTGGCTTTCAGAGCTAGGCATTTTGGGGTCCCATCCCTCTGATGCAAGCCTTAAAAGTTGTGATGCTAAATATGGAGGCCAAACCCTTTGCTCCTGATTATGTGTCACTGTGCCAGAGGTGGGGTTCATGGTGAGAGTGTATCTTAGCCTTTTCTCCCCATTTCAGTGTGGGTGTTTTCTCATTCATCCAGTGTGTGGGAGTCACTCAGCTAGTTTCTGGATATCTTTCAGAGAGAATTGCTCCATATATAGCTATACCCAGTGTGTACCTGGGAGGAAGGGCACTCAGGAGTCTCCTGTGCTGCCATTTTGGTCTACTCTGTCTCTTTCTGAACCTCTGTCTGTCTTTGTCTCAACCACTGTCCTCTTATCATCCTTTCTCTCCCTATCTCTCTATGAGACTCCTTGTCACAATGCCAATCTTTCTGTATTATATCCACATCATCCCTTTAGACCTATTCTCCCTATCAGACTAGAAAATTTTCTCTCAACAGTCTTGACTTGGTGAGTAGAGAAGAAAAGCAATTCTTTCTAATGAGCTCCAGTTAGAGAAATTCTGAGGAAGTCCTCTAAGTTGTCCTGACATGTTCCAATCACCACAGCCAAGATGCCTCATGGTCATGCTGGATCATATACCATCCTGGGGGTTCAGATGGGTGGGCTGCTGTAATTGATGACCCTGGACAAAGCACATGGCTTGAGTTGGGTAGAATAGTTCTATAAAAGATGGAAAGGTTGTAGGGGTACTAAGATAGCCAAGACTGCAGAGGTCTGCTCTAGGGAAGCAAAAACTTAATCAAAATACAAATGCTAGAGAATATATGATCCAGATTCTGAATTCTGTACAAGTCCAAAGGAGTTAAATCAATGTGAGCTAGAGTGACCAGGGAAAGCTTCCAGGAGGTGATTCAATTTCAACCTTAAAAGATAAGGTTTTAGATAGATAGGAGGGAGTGAGAAATCCTGAATTAGGGAATGGTTTCTGGTTTTTTATTGGTGGTGTTTGCATTGTTTTAAGCTCCTAAGAGACAAGCGCTTTTCTTTTGTTATAGAATAGCACTTGATAACCAGTTAGGCTTGGTCATTGGAACCAGGTTCCAATTCTGTCCGTTCTACCCTGCCCTTGACCTTGGGGGAATGATAGAAGAATACCTGAGAATCCTCTTATCCTGACAATACCAACTTGCTTATAAACAGAAAGGGAGACTGTAAAACAGAGCAGGTGTCCATAAAGTCCATTCTGATACCTTCAGCCCTCTGTTTGTATGACCTCAGCCCTCTGTTTGTATGACTCAATGTGAGTTTCACATTGTAATTTTGGCATTATCATAGTAGACTGGATTGCTTATTAAATGAATAATATATTAATTTAATAAACACATTGGTAGCCCCTGATATATACTCAGCACAAAAGTGCCAAGGATTCCAAGATAAATAGATAGGGTCCTACTTTGTTAAAATTTATATCCAAGTACAGCAAGCAAGTGCAATGACATAAGTGATATGACTGAGCCATGCAAAGCAGTGGTTCTAACACTTGGCTATACATAGAAGTCACTTGGGAGCTTTAAAAAAAACTACCGATGCCATCATCTTATTGTTACAGCAAATGCTCGGTGCCCAGGAAGAGACAAGCCACACACACTAGGGAAATCAGGAAAAGACTATTTATTGCACACCAGTGTTGACCCAGCGGAGTCACCTCCAAAGGCTGAGCCCCGAACCTTGGCATCGGCCTTCTTTTATGGCTGAGATGGTAGAGCGTTGAGAGAAAAAAGAAAAAGGGGAAGGGGCTCTTATCAGTGTTGCTATCTGGGCAGTTGGTGGACACAGGAGGCAAGCAAGATTACAGAAGCCAAAAGTATGCAAAGGGAGTATCCAGCCTTGGACATCTGCCTGGCCCCTTTTATCTTGTTTTTATTAGCCTTTTCCTCATTATCTCCAAAGGATTTTTATTTCATTGGTCTGGGGAGGGGCCCGGACATCCAGATATTTAAAGCTCTTCCAGTGGCTCTCATGAGCAGCCAACATTGAGAACCACCAATGTACAGATGCTATGGAAGCAGATAGAGGACTCTTAAGCAACATGAAGAGTGGAAGGGCTGCCAGAGGGGTGAGCCAAGTGAGCTTTGAAGGAAGGGTGAGAGTTAGCTGGAGAAGAAAGGGGACAAGGAGACCATTGGATACGAAGGACATGGAAAGCAAAAGGGAGAAGAGCCAAAAAGACATGACTTGCTCTTGGCTGAGGAATCAATAAGTCTTTCTAGTTCTGGCCTCATCCCTTTGTGATCTTAAACAAACATCAACTTTGCTGTGCCTCAGTTTCCCTTTGGTCAAAGCAGCTAATGATACCTGCTCTCTTTACCTTAGAAGTTTGCCTTAGGAGGGGCGCCTGGGTGGCTCAGTCGGTTGAGCGTCCGACTTCAGCTCAGGTCACGATCTCGCAGTCTGTGAGTTCGAGCCCCGCGTCAGGCTCTGGGCTGATGGCTCAGAGCCTGGAGCCTGTTTCCGATTCTGTGTCTCCCTCTCTCTCTGCCCCTCCCCCGTTCATGCTCTGTCTCTCTCTGTCTCAAAAATAAATAAACGTCAAAAAAAATTAAAAAAAAAAAAAAAAGAAGTTTGCCTTAGGATCAACTGAGGTGAGCAAAAACTAAAATACAGTATTTTGATGATCATAAGTGAGATTTTTAAGTAACAGCTTTGGGCATTCAAAACATAATCATTTCATTTGAACAAATAAAAATCATTTTATTTTTCCTAACATATAGCATTTGCAACCTACTTTATTAAACAGAGTGCACTGATGCCATTTCCCCCCCCTGATTCCTATTTTCTGTTCTCCCTTTAGCGTAGATGTCAATAGAGTAATGAATGGCCCTCTAATAGAGTAATGAATGGCCCAAGGGCCAGGGAAAAGCATTGGGTTTTAAGTTCTTAAGTCTGTTTTTCATAGGTTTTTTCTATTTTTCTTGGTATCTGGGTATCAGCTATTGATGCTCACTCTTTGAAATTTCTATTTTATTTATTTAGTTTAGTTTTTTTTTTTTTTTTTAGAGAGAGAGAGAGAGAGAATAAGCAAGGGAGAGGGGTAGAGGGAAAGGGAGAGAGAATACAAGCAGGTTCCCTGCTCAATGCAGAGCTTGACCCCATGACCCTGGGATCATGACCTGAACTGAAATCTAGAGTCAGATGCTCAACCAACTGAGCCACCCAGGCACCCCTCTCACAATTTTAAATTCTACCTTTTCTTTCTAACTTGCCACTTATTACCTGTTGAAGACTGGAAAACCAGAAAGCCCATCTTAGAATGATATTTAAAATAAGAGTAAATAGACCAAGCAAGAACTTGCTGGAGAGTGGATTATGTGATCTCTTTAGTGCATGAATGTTTTAATGTCTGTGTTGCCTCTTTTAGCTGACTTTCTGTGTCATCCTCTGGCCTGGATACCTCATGTGGGAGATGGCTGACTGGGGCTTTATGTGTGGAAGGTCGGAGGCCCACAAGGATTAGTTTGTCAGGATTCTCAGCTTGCCTGCTTTTGGCTGTTGGCCATAGACCTTTAAGGTTTCCCACTCTGATCACTATGAGAATTTTGTTCTTGTCAGACTAGATTTTAATGTGTGTCACCACTTATTGTTTCCGGGGCAGGAGGAAAGAAGGGCAGATAGCCTCAAACTCAGGAGGGCAACAGTGTCTTGAAGTAAACAGCTTGAGTGGAGGTTAACCACCCTCATCCAGAGGACAGATCAGGGTAGGAAACAGAACACTCCCAATGGGAAGACAAGGGGGAGAAAGTGCTGGAAGGAATCCTGTGTGGCAAGACTGGGTGTGAGGGGAGAAGGAAGGAGGTGGGGAAGAGAGAACTTCTTAGGTGCCAGGTGGTGAAGAGGCAAGGACAGAGATTTAGACCTGTATTACTGTGGACTTTGTACTCTTTTATGGTTTTTTAGAGAGCCACCGACTCCCTAATGCCATTCCAGGACTCATGAGTTGTGACCATTGCAGGTGACAGCTGTATCTGCCAGGCTCACCAGTAGCCATCCTCTGTGGGTCCCCACAATGCAGGCTAGGCCCTCTTGAGAAAGTGGCTTTCCAAGTAATAGTCAGCCCTGAATTCTTTTTTGCACTTTGTCGTCTGCCTTCCGTGTGGTCACTGTCTCTCCTTCCTTCCCCAGGTCGGTGGCCGGATTGGATAAGGAGGCGGACCTGGTGCACATGGAGGTGCGGACTGCAGATGGATGTGAGTGCTGAGGCCTGGAGGCTAGGCCAGGGGGGGTCTGCCTGCAAGGCTCCCTCCTCCCCTAATTTGCATTTTAATGGTTTGGGAAAATGAAAAGCCCTGAGCTCCATTGCTGCCATATCCATCCTATTTTTCAGAGTAGGGGGAGAGGCCTCTGGTCCCAAGGGAGATGTTTCACTGAAATACACCCTCAGGAATGAATTTTCTGGGGATGTGAGTTAATGTGATGAATTTTGAGGCTCCTGTTAGTAATTTCCTGGCATCTTCAGTGTAATTCGAATAGGAATGTCCATAGCTCATCAGGCTATTTTGCATTCACATGGTGAATTACAGGGACTGCCAGCTTTAAAAATGAACCCTTCATATAGTCAAGCTTACCCAAAAAAGTCACTGGGCAATTTTTTCAAAACTGTTTATTCATTCATTCTACAAATATGTAGGGTCAGGCTACTCTGTGCTGTGTTAGGCCCTGGAGATACAGTGGTGAGCAAACCCTTTCTGTTTCTTGTCCCTGCAAACAAGCAGTGGAATCCCAGGATCCTGAATACGTGACCCCTTTGCACGGTATGCACCTGCGCATGTCTTACACGGAAATCGATAACATATCATTTTGCACCACTTAAGCATTTTACTCTTCCCAGAGTTGATCGTATAAGGCTCTTCCCTACCCAATAAAATCAACTTAAAAACACATGAAATGTGTGAAAATATATGATATAAATGAAAGAGATGAAAATAGCCTAGGTCAACAATAGAGCCAAATAATCTGTGGAAATAGTAGTGATGGAGGAATGCTGTGGAACAGGCCCCAGCCTGTGAGTTGGGGTCCTGGGTTGTTCCATGCACTAGCCCTAAGGCCTGGGGAAACACCCTCTGATCTCAGTGCTAAGTCCTTCCATTATCTGAGAACACTCATCCTTGCTCTCCCCACCTCATGGGGTTATAGGCTGACCAAGTGGAGAGACATTTTATGGAAATTGTAAAAGGTACAGATGTAAGGAGGGTCAGTTTTGACCTGGCTGTGGGCGTTGGATTGTCATTTAGAATACATTAAGTAAAACTGCATGCGCTTTGTCCCTGATAAATCTGTTTTTGATGCCAAACACAGGTGCATGCCAGAAACATGCATTTTGGGGAATATTTTATTTGTTTTCTTTTTCTTTTTAAAAGTTTTAGAAGATGACCAGCGTTTGTTACTATATTCTGCTGAGTACTTGATTTTTTTCTTCCTTTCCTTTCCTTTCCTTTCCTTTCCTTTCCTTT